ACTCAAAGCAAGAGCACTGCTTGAAGTCCATGTGTGTTTTCTCTCCTACCTCACACTAAAGACCTGAGGCTTACTCTTTGGAGACTGGATAAGAGCAGCTTCAGACTGGGAGCCGCTAGGTACAGTAGAGGGCAGGAGAGTGGCCCCATACCAGAAACTAGAGGATGATGAGAATATTTTCATCCTTAACAGTGGGACCCTCCCCACAACACAACCTTGATTGAAAGATTCTTCACTGGAGAAACAGTATCCCCAGAAAAGACATTTAAATTTTGATACTGGAAGAGAGATGAAAGAGGACCTAACAAAAAAACCAAGTAATTGCCAAAACTCCACCTTCAACAAGCCCCACCACATTACCTGCTAAGAGTTTGACAATGTTGAAATAGTAGGGAAAAGGAATGTGAAGAAACATTTAGGAAGAGATTGCAATTAACAATAGCCATATAGGGAACTAAAGAATGAAAATATGAGGCAATAATTAACTCCAGAAAAATAAATCCTTGAGCACTACTTGGTTCAGCAGTGAACAATGTGTAGTCAAAATAATGCAAACAATTGATTATGGATCAATAATGGGACAGATGTGAGAAGAGGAAATAGGGCCATTGTGTAATTCTAGCTGTCATAAATAACATTTACAGTTGACAAATTAAGAAATAGTGGTGTATTCATTTTCCGGCATACAAACTACCACAAACCCTATGGCTTAAAACAACAAAAATGTATTCTTCCACAGTTCAGAAGGCCAGAAGTCTAAAATCAAGGTGTCATCAGGGTTGGCTCCTCTTAAAAGGTTCTGAAGCAGAATATGGTCCATACCTCTCTCTGAGCTTCTGGGGATTGTCAGCAGTCCTTGGTATTCATATGCTTGCTGCAGAATTCTAATCTCTGCCACCAGAGAAGACGTCATCTGGTCATCTTTACATCATGTCTCTTTCTGTGAGTCTCTTTTCTTGCTCTTATAACACCAGTCATAATGGACTTAGGGCACACCCTATTCCATATGGCCACCTTTTAACTTGAATAATTACATCTACAAAGACCTTGTTTTCAAATAAATTCACCTTCTGAGGTTCTGGGAAGAATGTGAATTGGGGCAGTGACACTATTCAACTCAATACAACCAGTGTAAGTATAATATTTGGAAATGTTCAAGTAAATTACAAACAGAATCAGCTAAAGGTCAAAAGTCCTTACCTCTGGAATGGAAATTGGTGGGTGGAAAGAACATGGTAGGGAAACAATGTTCCTGCCTATAAGGTTTGGAAAAGACATGCCTATTGCACACTGACACCATGTCCCTTCCTTCAGGTAAGTAGGAGTATCATATTTCTTCTCCTTCTGGTTGTCCAGGTGTGGTCAAGTGGCTAGTTTCTAATGATAGTCTGGGTGAAAAGGACATGTGTATTCAGAGCTCTAACCACCAGGGTGGGACCGTTCAGCACTATTCTTCCTGCCACAGGGATGGGGAAAGCATGTGTGCAAACAGAGCTTCTTTCAGTCTGAGCAGAGTGTCCCCTGGCTAAGGTCTGAATATTTGTTCCCCCCTCCCCAACCACCACAAATTCATATGGTGAAACCCAACCTTCCAAGATGATGGCAGCAGGAATGGGGCCTTTAGAAAGTCATGAGGGTAGAACCCTCAGGAATGGGATTAGTGCCCTTATAAGAGAGACCCCAGAGTGATGCCTTGCTCTTTCACCAGGTGAGGACACAGCAAGAGGGCACCCTTTAAACCAGGAAACAGGCCCTTACCAGACATCAAATCTGCCAGCACCTTGATCTTAGACTTCTCAGCCTCCAGTACTGTGAGAAATAATTTTCTGCTGTCTCTAAGTTACCCAGTTTAGCAGCCTAGACAGACGAAGACACCCAGTTGTATCAGACATGAAATCCTTGTTTTTGTTATCTGCTGAGATTTTGAGTTTGTTGTTGAGTTTACAGCCACACAACCTCACCTGTCTTAATTGACACAATGCATGGAGCATTATTTGAATTTGATGCAATTTACATGTACTTACTGTTCTGATAAATATGAAAATGAATAACATAAACCATAAATGGTAAGACATAATACACGAAACCACTTAGCATTGGTGATTTTAGCAGGTCACTTTTTAAATGACACAATATTCTGAGAGTACTGGATTCTAAGTTCTGGCAGGCATTGTCAAAGTGGAGCCTGGGATACATGAAGCCAAATCTTACTGCACAGTTTTTTTTTTTTAAATTGGATTTTATTACTTAAGGAGTAGTACCCTGAATTAATCCAAATATGGATATGGCTCATTTTCCACAATGTCTCATGTGCTGGAGTATGGCAAAAGAAATGTGTCTACTTTTTGGAGTCTAGTCTTCCTTTTGGGTTTCATTTGTGCCTAATCTTTTTCTTGCTGAATGAATAACAACAGGTTCTAAAAATTTACTTTTAAACTCTTCTTTCAAGTGGATTTTTTAAACTCTATAAATGATCAATACCATTACCTGGGTATGACTTTATTTCTATTTAGAAACATAGTCATCTCCTGTATAATGTGATGGTGAAGAGGTTCCCACAGGTGAGTCTGCTCCTGCCCATTTGATGTCACCTCTCTGTTACTGCCTGGGTGATAAGTCCTATCAGTCTTGCATATTCTACTTCTGTTGCAATGTCAGCTGCCCATATTTGTGGCTTTCAATTTATTCCATGATTGTGAGTCTTTATTCAATAGACTTTTCATTATGCAGGTCAAATATCACCCAGTATCCAATTCCTCTCTCATTCAAAGAACCTGGAAGGATTATTATCTTCCTCCCTGCTGAAGTTAGACAAAGTCATGTGACTAATTCTAATGAATGAATGGCATTTTAATGAAAATATTTATGTAACAAGGAAGATATAAAGCCCCAATAACTTATATTCATTTCAAGAAATTTTCAATTCAATTCCAGTACAAAAAATGATACAGTTTTTAAATCTTCACTGTGATGAGATCCCAATTAGCTAATCAGACTGTGAGCTCCCTGAGGGCAGAGCTATCGTGAAACCCACACACACTAGATGCTCAATACACATCTGTTGAATGGATGAATAAAATATTGAGTGATGAGTGACCATAATTCTAATAACATGTCTTGATTAAATCATTCTTATTTATCCTCTGTGTTCATTGGAACAGTTTACTAATTTAGAAAACTACCCTTAAATGAAAAAGATTATTTTATCAGTGAGGTTAGCAACAATATTCTGGCTTCTCAAAAAAGGTTAACATGAAATCTAAGAAGGAAATTCCAGGGAGTTTTGCTGTTTCTGAACTTTGTAATAAAGATGGCCCAGAGGTGCACATATCGTAATATGATTCTTTTTTTTTTTTAAGAAGGAGTCTCACTCTGTTGCCCAAGCTGAAGTGCCGTGGTGTGATCTCAGCTCACTGTAACCTCCACCTCCAGGTTCAGGTGATTCTCCTGCCTCAGTCTCCCAAGTAGCAGGGATTACAGGGGTGTACCACCATGCCTGGCTAATTTTTGTACTTTTAGTAGAGAGGGAGTTTCACCATGTTGGCCAGGCTGGTCTCAAACTTCTGACCTCAGGTGATCAACCTGCCTCAGCCTCCCAAAGTGCTGGGATTATAGGCATGAGCCACTGTGCCAGGCCCCCTGGTTTTCTTCTTTCTCTTTGAGTTTAGTGATTTGAGGCTGTTACAAACTGAATGTTTGTATCCCTCCAAAATTCGTATGTTGAAGCGCTTACCCACAGTGTGATGGTATTTGGAGGTGAGGTCTTTGGAAGATGATTAGGTTTAAATGAGGTGATGAGGGTGTTGCCCTCATGATGGGATTAATGACTTTATAAGAAGAAAAAGTGACAATACAGCTTCCTCTGTCTGCCATGTAAGGATACAGTAAGAAGGAGGCCCTCTACAGTTAGGACGAGGCCCTAACTAAGAACTGAATCAGCCAAGACCTTAATCCTGGAAATCCTAGCCTCCAAAACTGTAAAACATGAATGTCTGTTGTTTAAGCCATCCAGTCTATAATATTTTGTTACAGTAGCTCCAGCTAAGACAAAAGCCAAATTCCCATCTTCTCTACCTCTCTTAGAAATGTAATATTATTTTTGTACGCCACAGTCACCTTCTCTTGCTTGCAGCAACCAGCCTAAGATTCTACTGCCTAATAAGTAACACGTCCATCCAATGCCCACACTGAATCATCAAATATTTCCTAATTAAGGCAGGAATGGTTTCGTTAACCACCATTGTTGCATAGCATTGTTGGCTGTTAGGCTCCAACCTAGGCATGGTGCTCTTGGGTTTCATACAATGCAAATAAGTGAAAACTTTCACTAGAATCCAAGAGCTTCCAATTTGAAAAAATAGAAAGTTCAGTAATTCAGCCACAGGTTTAACTTTTTAAAAATTCTCTGGATCGTATTATACCCTACAAAGTTGTGTTATTTTTATTATTATTATTATTTTTTGCCTCTTGGTAAATACATTTAATACATTGCCCTGGCTTGTATTGACCATATTATGGCCCTGCAGTTTCCTGAAAATATGGCCTTTTGGATTGGCAAATAGTAATGGGAATAAATTCTTTAAGCACTATGTAAAAAGCTTACTTGAAATTTTGAAGTATCATACCAAAATGCTGATGATTAAATAGAGATTTGTTATACAATGACAAATGAAAATGTGCTGTCATAATTCACTGGATAAAGTTTAGTTTTTACATCATTTTGATAAATTTACCTCATTTGCCAGTATAGCTACAAATCATACCTTATGGTTGTCATGCAAAGGCAGTAAAATATTACATACTTCAGATGACCTCCATCCAGAAATGCTTTTCACTGTTCACTTTTTATCTTTCAAATACTACTTTCTTTAGAAGCAAATATAACTGCCATTATAGAGAGCAGCTACTGGCCTGGGACAAGTCCTAGCATTTAGTGCTCTGGCAGATCTTAATTTGGATATTAGCCAAAGTCAATAAAACTTGTTCATGCAGAACCTTACCTGGTTTTTACCACGTCGAGGGGGTGCATCAGGCAAATTTCTACAAGACCTGAAAGATGATAAAGAAAGTCCAATAAACACTTATGTAAACAGTGGTTCTTATTTCCTTGACCCTGTCAATTTCTCAAGTATGAGGGTTCAGATAAAGAACTTGGGACTTTGGATATGACAGCTAATAGTAATAGACTAATGGCAAAAAACAGAAGCATAATATGATTTTACTTCAATGGGAACAAGATATGTGAGCGAGTACTTTCTTACAAGTGCTCTGGCAGGGATGTGGGGCAGGAGGGAAAAGGAAATTTAAAAAAGAATCAGATGTGCTAATTCCAATCAACTGGAAGGACATTATGGCTTCCCATTCCAGCCCAATAATAAGGATATGTGGAAGGAGGGGAGGAAAGAAAAGAAGGAAGAAAGGGCAGGAGGCTCTTTGAATCTCTCCCAGCTTTGCTATGTTAGTAAACACAGCAAATCAGAAACCTGAGTTTCAATATCCATGAAACAAAGATAATGATGTCTCTTCCCTCCCAAGGTGGTTATAATAAAGCAATACATATCAATACATTAATAGCTTAATCGAGAATATTTCTTGCTAGATCATAATAAAGAAATACATATCAATACATTAATAGCTTAATAGAGAATATTTCTTGCTAGATCATAATAAAGAAATACATATCAATACATTAATAGCTTAATAGAGAATATTTTTTGCTAGATCATTGTGTGCTAGGCACTGTTCTAAGCAGTACTTAGATTACCTCATTTAATCTTCATAAGAACTTTGTGTGATAGAATGTATTATCCTCATTTTACAAATGAGATCATTGAGGCACACAAGTTAAATAACTTGTCTAAGATGTTACGTAAGGAAGTAGTGTTAATTTCCACAAAGCCCTGATCTTAACCATTACACAGTAAAAGAACTATAGCTTTTTGCAAATAAATTGTAGAACTCTCTCCTATAGTCTGAGCAGAGAAGACTACTTAATTATAATACAAACTATTGGTATGTAACAATAGGAGTAGTACAAGTAGTGTTAGGTACCAGTAGTTGTAAAAATAATTATAGTAGTCGTCATTATGGTATTATAGAGGTAATAATAGTAATAGTTATCTACATATGGATGGTCATTTAACATATATGGTCACCGATATGCACAAGCGGACAAGGTAAGTATCATTATTATCTTTCCTTTAAGATAAGAAAAATGATGTTGATAGTGTTCAACTGATTTGCCCAAAGGCCACACGACAGTATTTGTGAGTAGTTTCTTACAGGCAGAGCATTTACCTCCATTTATAAACGAACCCAATTTGAATTTAACTGTGATGTAGTTTATCTTCCCCATCCCATATTTATTCATACAAATGTCTTTCCTTCTCCATACTGGTGAGGTTCAGAAAGCTCAAAGGGTCTGTACCTATCTGAAAGCCCACTTTGCTTCTGCAGAAGCCTTAGGAGGTTTTCCCTGCATATGCCTGCTCTAGGTTACAAAGTTCTATGTACTGACCAAAACTGTCTTACTTTGGCTACAACAAATAAGATCCAATATGGATGTTTGTGCCAAAGGCTTCCCAAGTCAGGGACCCAATTGGAGTCTCATTGCCTAGAGACAGGAGGAGACAGGCTCAGGGGAGCAGAGGCCACAGGATTGCTGGACACAACAGCAAAGCCTTTGGGTACTGTTTTGGCTTTATTAATAAGGCTTGTTACCCAAGGTAGCATGAGCAGAAATCTTCCTGGCAAACTGTACTGTAAGGTCTCTATATACTTCTCCTTGCTTGAGAATTCACATTTACCCCAAAATAAGAATCAAGTGACCAGAATTTTTGCCCTGATGCCTTCAGGGAATCATCATTCACCCATGATGACATTAGTTCCTTATCTGTAAAGCAAAAGATTAAATGGTCTAGAATAACTTTGAGGTCTAATATTCTATGTTTGTTGCTGTTTTTGAATCTGATTCATACACACACACACACACACACATTATTTATAATTGTAATTTAAGCTTTCTTATATTAGCTATGAAACTCTAATCCTATTTAAAAAATTTACTCTGGAAGCTCAGACTTTAAGAATAGCATCCTTACCTCACACTGCAGCAGACATCCATTAAGTGCACTTCTGTGCATCTCGTGCACATGAGGAAATGAGACACTCAGAATCAGTTTACCAAAGCAAGTACACAAAGCTTCTCCCCCTGACTTGACATTAGAGTAAAAGCAAAAAACACATACCAAATAGCACTGGTTGGTACATCTCTCAAAAAGTTTACCAAAAGAGCCCACAATACCAACAACTTGTTAAAGCTTACAGCAAGACTTGGAAATCAGACCACATTTATATAAATCTGTTTACCTATTGGCAAAATTGTTTCAGTTTCCTATGTGCTAATGCACATTTCTGGTAGTAAACAGATAATAGATCAAATGACTATACTTTTGTGATCACTTAAAGTTATTTTCTATAACCTACTATGCACCAAAACACTTATTTATTAATTCGTCAAACTTGTACTGGTTGCCCTCTATGTGTCTGGTATTGATGATAGAGTCTAGTGAGGGGAACAAATAGACACATAGGAACAAATAATAGTAGATAAGAGGACGTGCGATGCTCAGAGTTTATGAGAGCACATTGGAGAGAGGCCCCTGCCCTAGCATGGGATCAGGTGAGGGGTGGGAAAGGAATTGAAGGCAGAGAGAGGACAGCATGAGCATGAGGCATGGAGGAAAGACATTGCACAGAGAAAAGAAGAAAAGAGGCAAGAAGCACTTGAGCATTACGGCAGCCTAGGGTTGAAGGCTGGGCATGGCTAAAGATGAGTCGGGAAGTATACAGGTGAGGCTCAAGTTCACGTTTAGGCACTTCCACTTTATCCCATAGGCCACGAGGAGCCAGTGAAGGATTTTCTTTTTAAAATAACTTTTGGTTGTTTTTTCTTATTACCAATGTACTCCATGTTTATTGAAGACATTTTGAAGAATTGTAAGCGGAGGAGTGGTATGGACTTCTGCTCACGTGTTCTCCCATGATCTAATCATCTGCTCCCTTCAATTCCCCCCAGTGCTCCCAATCACAGCTAATCACATGCAAGCACAGGAGCACTGATGTCCCAGTCCTCTCACCATCAGCAACCGGTTTACCAGTAAAAGCATCGTCTCTCATCATAGTATAGATGTCTTGGTGTCCCATGCACGTGTAAATCTGAGAGTCAACAGTCATCTATGAAACTACCTGCAAAACTGTGACCTGGCCAAAAGGAAGATGGGACTTAAATGATCAAATATAACATGTTTGATCCAGGATCTCTGTGTGATTATTTATTTACTGTTATTTTTAATCAAAACAAGTCATTTGTAGAATTTACATTAGCAATAAAAGTCAAGGACTTTTATGCTACAGGCACACAGAACAGAAACGTTAGAAATTTTACGGAGGTTTTGACTTTGATCAGGGTTCAGAGTTAAATATGAATTCACTCAGAGTAGGAATGGATGCTTGCTGTCCTCCACAGACGGCTACAGACTGTGAGACTCTGATTATTATTTATGAAGATAACCATATAAATAGAATCAGATTAATCACATTATACAGGCCAGAAGTGACCTCAAGAAACTGAATGGTACCATGTGCTTATTGGCAATTCTATAACCTAGCTTGAAGTCACAAACTAAATAATAAGTTAGTGAGCACAAATTTTAATTATTTTTCTTTTCTCATAAAATTCAAAGTCTAATATAGAAAAGAAGATGACTCTGCAATATCAGCTTCCATTTAGTAATCCATCCTAATTGCCAATTTAAGACACACTGATCTCAAGACAAATAAGACTTAGAAGTGTTGCTTTCACCAACCTGGCATTTATTACACTCACCAGCCACAGATGAATTAAATGGTTCAGTCTCCCCTACTCATGCATGATATAAAAATTGTATTGCCAACCACCAACCATAGAACCACTTTCTCTGGGGAAAAATGTTATGATTTCATACTATTTGAGTGGTAATAAAAAAAAATGTGTAAGAACCTAAATAATTATAAATTTAGATCAGTGCTTTTCTTAGGCTCTCTAGCTGATTTTAGCTTTAAATTTGGTGTTTCATATTAAAACCAGAAAAAGTCATTTAGAGACAAAATGTCTTCAAATCATGCTTAATTTTAAATGGGCTGGACTATTTGTATCTTCCATTCATTTTGGGAATAAAAAGCAGAACCAAAACATAACCAAATGACAGTATGAAAATAATTAGAAAAACATAAAAACATACATTTTCTCAAATAACATACTATATTTCAGAAAGTTAAAAATGTTCCATATGTTATTTTTATTTGAGGCAACTGCTGATTTATCACAATAACAAGCAAACAAGAATTACTATTAGATTTGTTTAAACTAGACAAAATACTGATTTTATAAGGCTGAACATTATAAAAATTAGGAAAGCCCCAAAGAAGACTGATATTGTGAATTTAACATATTGTGTGCAGATTTGTGCCATGTTAGTGAACATGACTATATCTCTAAGATTTGAATGCAACTGGTAATGTAACCCTACCAGGGGCACAAAAACGTATGGGTTATCCCCTTAGCTTGTACCTTAGGATGGCCCCTAAATGCTCTGTTCTTTGAACTGGCTCAAGTACATGCTTTCACCTGAGCCAATATTGCTAGGAAAAGAATAACATCTCCCTGCCATCTTTTCTGAGACTTCAACTTTTCTGAGAAGATCTCCTGGCTGCCTGTTCAACCACAAAACTGCACTGATCATTAACATCACCCCCACCTTCCTCTGAAATAACCTGCACCGCATTCTTTCCCTTAAAAAAAAAAAAGTGCAAACATTGTCACACAATGATTAATCATGATTGGTGAGAGAACAGTTTCTCCTCAGTGTTCAATTCCTAGAACATTTCCTTTCCTCAGGAATGTTTTTCTACTATAAGGACACATGTACATAACTTCTGAGAATCCTACTAACCTTCAGATCTCAATTTAGGCAACCCTCTTCCCAGAAATCCTGGGGCAGAGATGGTTA